AAATACGAACTATACTCTGAACTGCATATTTTAAAAAGGTCTTCAAATCTCCAGATCGGATACCCATGCAATTACAGACAAAAAGCGGATTCAGAGTGCTTTTTACTGAAAGAATCGTATGGACGCTGAACAACGCGTCTCTAACAGATCCGATCTCTCAGCAAAAGGAAAAAAGGCCTACTTCTTGTTTTTTACCTTGTAAAAACGGAAATAGAAGATAGAATGACAAGCGACATCACCATGAGAAAAGACCGAGAAAAGTGAACTGTAATATAATATATGTATGAAGTTTGGCAAGTTCAACATGTAGCGAATAGATAGCGTTAGAAAAAATCATAAAAAAACTAAATATTTAAATTTAATTTTTTAGAAAAGAAATAAAAATGCTACAAATCAAATTGATATTCTTCGTTTACCATGGGTGAGTGATTTTGAATTTTTGTCAGTCTTGTTTGACTTGCTTGAGGATATTTATCTTTGAGCTCTAAACGTATTTGGTACAATATTCGAGCAGCTAACAACGGAGGAGATGCACAACCACCGTATTAAGTTCATAACAGTGAAAATTACCGTATATTCATAACGTTCAATTTGTGCGGATGGATCGTAAGGATTTTTTGGAACAGTTATTTGAAATCTACGTTGATTAGGGTGGATCAACACTTATCGATACGCATTAGTGTATCCCTATGTGATTAATCAGTATTAATCACATAGGGATACATTCTAAAATTCAAAAGAATAGATAATAAATCTAGTTGGTAGTAAATAGTGGAACCTACATGTAGCTCGTCATTTATTGAAACTCCGTTGTCATTTTGTGCCGAGGCATCAAAAAATATTCCGAGGCGACTTGTTCAAATTCAATTTTTTTTTATTAGACCCAAGTAGATTTACAGATTAATACATATTATTATTAATAAATGTGTGTCTAAAGCTAACCTGGTGTCTTTGACAACTGCATGATGTGGTGTATAAAAATGTTCATTTGGATCAACGAGATCCATAGATAAATCTGTGATTTATATCATATGACCAAGATTTTTATATTTGTTATGAAATGCAACATATTTCTTTTTTAACCCGTTATCCTTAAGAATGCATTTTCCTTACAAAAACCAACAAAAAAAACATAAATGTCATTGCCCCAAAAAGCTCTAGTCGATTCATATCTTCCTAAAAGGAAGTTTAAAAAGAAAACGACCTTTTGATGAAAGGACTAAAACTTTAAATATGAGTTTTCTAATGTTAACTTGTTTTAGTTTGAATTAGAAAAAGGATCAAGAATCAGTGTACAAGTTGGAAGGAAACCAGTGGATGTTAAATAGTAAAGCCCGCCATTCACTACGTGTAATGTACACTTGCGCATATATTACACGAACCCTACGAGTAAGTTAATTTTTTCTTGAATGTGGTGAGCCCTAGACAAACAGCGTTATGGCTGCCGTATTGTCTAACAGGCAAAATTTGCTTTGATGGTTAATGGAGTTCTGCTAATAGAAGAAGAAGAAAAAAACGGATTTGGGTGAAACCATTACTGAATTTTCAACAGCAACTGCTTGCCTTTCCTACGTTGCCAAAGAAAATTCCACAGGGTTCATTCTTCTGTCTTTGTGCAAAATTTTCATGTGCTTATTTTATCATAAAGCGAAGCGAGACTTCTCTCTGCTGCATAACATTGGCGAAGTTAGCTCTCTGATTTTGGGGGGGCTTAAGCCCCGGCATCTTTTGATCATAACATTAGGTAAGATTAGGATGAAAACACAGTATTTAATACTAAATGCTTTAGTGGCAATATCGAATAAACATGGACTAAACAGAACTAAGTATAACTGATATATACATTTTAATAATAAACATACAGATATTAAATATGACTAAAAAATAAAATAAGAAACACCCAGACCTTCGCATTAAAGTAGTTGTAATTTTCTGTTTCCGGATTTTGAGAATCCATCAATTATCTCCTGATGTTCAATATTTTTCGCCATATCACTATTGATGTTTAGTATTGAAAGTTTACTAAACCTATCTTGGCTCATTCGACTCCTTAACCATGTTTTTATGCGACGCATGGTTGAAAAGACCTCTCACAAGTAGTTGATCCAATTGGAAGAATCAATGCTACTTGTAGCAGTCCGAATGTATGTGGAAATGTATTTTTTGTGACAATGGATTTGAGGTTTGACAACTTATCACCGATCTTGTTATCAGGGCAATTTTTTATAACAAGCATCTCCGCTTTAAGAGACTCCGTATCAATGTTAAATAGTTTTTTGTAGTGTTCTATGAAGAACAGGCTTCCTATTGGATCCATTTCCAAAAATTTATTGACTGAAATAGCTAGACGTTGACTCTCTTCGGAAAAACGGATTTTCAAGTGATTTGTTACACTGTCAAGTATACGGTAATGAGCATTTCTAAGCTAAAAATTCTTTTTGTCATACGCTCCCAAAAACAGCTATTTTACGGACTCATTTCAGTCCGTAAAATGTTTCTTTTTCGGCCTAGGCCGTAAAGGTCGTCATGGCAACCTTTATGGACTAAAATGTCTAAATTCGTTATTTGGTTGTTTTATTTTGTCATTCGAAATTTGTCACAAAATCACATAAAATTATACATATATTTATAATTAAATTATTAAATACTAACAATATCAAAAGCTAAGTTATTTGTTTAAAGGAACCTCTTTGGTTTAAAGTAAGTACCTAGGTACCTATTTAAAAGAGGCTTTTAAATTAAAATATTCTTAAATTACAGTCACAAACATTCAAACCATCGTCAATTTGGTCGAAATATTCCATGCTGAGAGCAGTGTTAAGTGTTAAAGAAGATATTTATATTGACAAATTTCCAAAACTTATTGCTTTTTTGAAGAGGAATTCGGTTGGTTACGAGCCTAAAAAGTCTAAGGTTTTGTCCATAAAAGAGATCGGTGATTTTTTGGCCACGGCTAGTGATGAAACTTATTTACTTACTAAGGTAAGTTTGCGATAATGATTTTTAAAATATATAGATGGTTTCTTATTCCATTGTATTTGATTTTTAAATTATTAAATACTAACAATATCAAAAGCTAAGTTATTTGGAAAAATAAAAATGAAATGAACAATTTTGTGCATTTTGAAAACTTGCATCTGCAATCGAAACGACTCCTCCATTGGCAGGTAAATTTACTTTCTGATGAGGTGGAGTAAATGCGAACGATGATGTACTTGGTAATACATCCGTGGAAGTGGTCGCGATTTTCTTTTCCCCCATTAGCAGTTTGCAAACTTTCTTCTTTTTCTCAATAGATTCTTCTATGTAACCTTCGGCCACTGTGGACGACCTAAATAATTATTGTTGTTTAGAACAAGATCGGAAAATATTAAAATTTTTACCTCCAACCTCCTAGGCGTTTCAGCGATGTAAAATCCACATCTGCATCTGCAGCAAGAGTAGCAGAACTACGTCGGAAACAATGACCTGTATATTCGTTTGGGTTCGACAACTTTAAAAATGCTGCTACAATCGATGGCATCTTCCCAAATGAATGAATGCCGACTCGTTGCACGGTGCATTTTCCTTTACGATAAGAGATGAAGACATAATCATGTGGTACATTTTTTGGCCTAAGACAAGCATATTTTCTATACAACTCAACTGGATTGACAACGTTCCCTTCGTTCACCACCGGAAACACTCTTTTGATATTAGTTTTTGTATCCGCAAGGGTAACTAAAAGGCAGCTGTTGTCTTTTTCTATGATGTCTTGCACTCGTAGAGAGTACAATTCTTCTCTTCTACATGCTCACAAAGGCCAATGACAAGAGCTACCTAAAAATCAAATACAATGGAATAAGAAACCATCTATATATTTTAAAATCATTATCGCAAACTTACCTTAGTAAGTAAATAAGTTTCATCACTAGCCGTGGCCAAAAATCACCGATCTCTTTTATGGACAAAACCTTAGACTTTTAGGCTCGTAACCAACCGAATTCCTCTTCAAAAAAGCAATAAGTTTTGGAAATTTGTCAATATAAATATCTTCTTTAACACTTAACACTGCTCTCAGCATGGAATATTTCGACCAAATTGACGATGGTTTGAATGTTTGTGACTGTAATTTAAGAATATTTTAATTTAAAAGCCTCTTTTAAATAGGTACCTAGGTACTTACTTTTCGTGGAAATAATTTAGCAATACATCTTCATTTACAACGAATACGCCATTTTTGTCTTTCCATTCATTAAAAACATCATATTCTTTCTGGTAAATGGCACGAGACTTCACAGGAAGTAAATCCAACACGATTTCTTTGGCCTTATTAGCAATATGTTCGGGATTTTGGAACATTTTAAAATTGTTGATGAATTTGTGTGATTTTTGTGACAAATTTCGAATGACATGTCAAAATGCGATGAAATAAACAAACTCGTTACTAAGATATGAATTTATAAGCCAACTTTTCAAACATTATAATTTCAAATATGGAAAATTTGCAAATATGCGTTCTAAAAAACTGTAAAAAGCGTATGACAAAAAATAGTGTATGTAACACGTACCTAAATTATGTTTTTTAGGACTCATCTACTATTTCGGACTCGGCTAACGCCTCGTCCGCAAACAGTAATGATTCGTCCTAAAAAACATCATTTTAGGTACTAGTTACATAAATAGCTATTATTTCATTCAAAGATGTTTCAGAACTAGTACAAGCATCTTCATTTTCATCCCGTCCTATAGTCGACATTACTGCAAAATCAGTCAAATTAGGTGGCATTGTCCTTTTTCTCTTGGAAGTTCTTCCAATATCTAAAATAACATCACTTTCTTGTGCTATTTTTTTAATCTCTTGCCATAAAGTATTAAATGATGCCTCATTCCTTTTCTCTTCCAAGCATTTTATAGTTCCATTTATGATGTCTGTGGATGCCCCTAATGTACTCTCCTTTCCTTGTAGTTGTTTGCTCAAAACATTTACAGTTAACAAAATGTCAGTCAGCAGAACTAAATTAACTAGAAACTTTTTTTGTAGTCAAGCTTGTTAAAAGACCCATCGCCTCAACAACGTTTCTATTGGAATTTTCCTCAATTTCATATTTAAGAGCCACAATAATTGAGGAATAATTATTTTTAACGCCTTGGCAATTATTGCTCCTACAACTCCATCTAGTGTCTGAAATCCTACTGAGTTCCAGTGTCTTGGTTCCTAATGCCTTCTGTGTCTCAATGAAGGTTTTATGGTTTGACGGCTGGGAAAAGTGCACAAATAAAGATTCCAAGATATTGAAAAACTCTTTAACTCCCTGTATGTCATTGCATGAGTCAACAACAGCTAAGTTAAGTCTGTGGGCCATACAGTGAATGTAAATCGCTTCAGGATGTATTTCCCTTATCTTTGCTTGTAAGCCACCGTTTCTTCCCGACATCACGCTTGCACCATCATAGGCTTGTGCAATTATTGGAAAGTTTCTTAGGCCCAATTTATCTATGAAATTTATTATCAAAGTGCACAAGCTTGACGCATCACGTTGTTGAGAACATTCTACGAACCCCAAAAATCGTTCTTCTATCTCCAATTTTTTTGTGTAACGCACACAGAATGACAACTGTTGCTCTTTGAAGCACCTTGCTTCATCAACCATTATTGCAGAGGCTCCACATTCTTTGATTTCGCCGATTATTTTGGATTGTATAATATTTCCAGCATTATTAATAATATCATTTTGTATACCTGAACTACTGAGATTGAAATATTTGTTGTAAGATTCATTGCCCTTGTTTGAGGAGTCATCAGATTCGTCGTGACCTCTAAATGGCATTCCCTGCCGTGACAATGTCAAAATAATATCAGATATTATTTTCAGGTAATGTCTCGTGACGATGGGTTGGCTGATCGGGTTGACCTTGATAGGTAATACTGGAACTACTAGAGGATGATAGTGGATCCGTCCTGGAGAACGGTTCTGTAATACAAAATAAAATACACTTTAATTCATTTAAAAAAAATGTAAAAAAAAACATTTTTCTCCAACCCCCCGGATATGTCGCTATATTTGAACACTAATCTGTAAAAAATTAGGCGATTTTAGAACAATGCCCTGTCACTACGACAACCGTACCGGAAAAGTAAACACTTTGCGGTACGCGTACCAAAAAGACTATGTTCCATTATCAACTGCCCGTACTGGATTCCGCACAACTGATTTTACTCTCACAATACCATCGGTTCCAATTTTAACAGCTTACATTCATTATTAATTAAACTTCCTGGAATATTTTGCATTGCAATGTTTCGATATTAATTCTTTAGCTCAGCGCGCCGTTCAGCAATTTCAGGAAGTACTTACTACTCACAGATGCTAATGGAACATAGTTAAAGATTAGTGACAGTAGGGCGATGTCAATACGTTAACAATAAACGTCAGAATTAATTGCATCCAATTCAACAAATTAAATACGTTTAATTTCATATCAAAAGGAAGGGTTGGAGAAAAAATATTATGTTCTATTCGTACAAAATATACTGTTCGTGATTCATAAGATTACCGGACTCCGCTGCGCCTCGTCCGGTAAACTTTCTTACTCGTCCCGAAAAGACGTATTTTTTGTACTAATACTACTAAAAAAAACAATTTTGTATGTGGAAGAAAGAAAGAAAAAGGAAAAAGTATTTATTATTAGAAATCCCTATACTATACAAAGCTATGTACTATGGGTGAAATAGTTTTTTGAGATAAAAATCGCATCCGTAAGTCACAAACGATAAACAGTACGCCATTTTCGTAACATCGTGATGATCGTCATCATGTGTGAAAACCTAAATTAAGACAATGAATGCCCAAAACTCTTTATCTACCTCCACATCATATACGATGTGCAATATTAAGCTGTCTTAACTTGAATGGACCACCCCGTGTATTAGTTATTCCCACTTCTTACCTTCGAGCACTTTGTTCCCTGTTTCCACATTTTGGACAGTTGTTGTCGTTATTGGTGATTTTCGTTTAAAAAATGATCTGATGTCTGCAGTCGTTTTCTTCATTTTTTCAACTTCAACAATTACTCAAAGACTAGAAATGAGAGAAATAGAAATAATACTTACATTTGATATTCTTTTTATTAACAGAGCGACTAAAAATATGACCAAGCGTTAAAAACTTTTAAAAATATTACTAAAACAGTTACTATCGCATGGTAACGCAAGGAAACAAGGAAAGCAATGACATGATTGTAAATCAAATTAGGAACACACGTACCTTACACAAAACGTTGCTGGATAATTTCTTTCAAAACACTACACAAACTAGCACTATAGTCTTATTCAATATTCAACACAAAACTATCTTTGAATATATGAATATTATTTAAACTATTTATTTAAAACACACTATCTACAATTTACTGCACTATAGTAAATTAAAATCACTGGCTCGACTGCTCGATACTGAAAACTGAATTGACATCAACAACGGACGGTCGCTCCGCTTATATATGATTGCGTCTATCTCTCTCTCGTTCTAGTGTATACGAGAGAACCGTCGAATGTTATGTTCCGGAATATTATCGAAGTTGCCAATGCGAAGTTCCCAGAAATCCGTCGATCAGTGTTCGATGCGACGTTGCCAACGACTCGCTGATTTCGGTATCTTATAGGATCGTCACAATATATTGTTTTCGCAGAATTATTTCTAGGTTAAACTTTAAACTATCGAGTGACATATTAACACTGACAGACCAGGGACCGACTGTAATCGAGCTTGTATTGCATAGAGCGTCAAACATTTTGGGAGGGCTAATTCTACATTTGGGGGGGCTAAGCCCCCCAAAGCCCCCCCATAACTTCGCCACTGCTGCATAATCATACGGATTCTCTTCGGGGCCTCAAAGAAAATTCAGTATTACTTAGTCCTTCTGGAAAAAAGGTAAAGTAAAAGGTTACCTGTAAATCTGCCCTTACTCACTTATTCTCAAACCTTTAGAAATAGTTGATCAGAAGCGTTATAACAAGGCGAATTTGAAAGCGTCACTGTTACTATTACATCCTACTGTCAGTATGTCATAGAAAACGGTTGTTACCTTTTAGTTTCTGTATTACTCGAATCTCGATTGTCTTTCAGTTGCTTCGAGACCGAACAGAATGTTTACCTAAAAGCGATACAGAATCGTAATGCGTGCTACCGAACGATTGTCAAATGTAAAATGTAATGTAATCAAACAAGCATTTTGTGGTCAGATATAACTCTGACACAATTTATATTGACATCTGGTATTGTACATTTTGTATCTATACTTACTACATTATAATTGCCTATTTTCTCGCATATATTGTCCTATTTAAATTTTATATCCTTATTTAATAACGTAGTTGGTTTTTGATATTTTCGCAAAGTCTTTTATACATTTTCTGTAATATCCGACCAGTCCTAAGAAAGATTTTACATCTTTTGGATTTTAAGGTCGAGGAAAGAACTTTGGCTTTTTCAAGAAATATTACTTTGTTCTTGATTTACGTTTTCAAGTTCAGGCTATAGAGACATAAATAATGTAGATTTGCAGGATAACGATGTATGTTCCTCTTGCTATCAGAGATGAACTGTTCCTTCCTAAGTGCCGGGGTGGACTTGACAACGAATTTTCTCCACAACACAAATACTGCTAGATGTCGTCTTGCTACCAATTCCACTGTTTCGGAAAACCGCTTACTTTTGTAATTCTGTTGTTTCCGCCGGATCTCACTTCTGATACCAATTTTTGTAATGAATTTTTCGATGAAGAAAACTCTTGAGGAATACATACATTATTTTTTGATTATTAAAATTTTTAAAATTTCTTGAAACAAAATCTAAGTCTGTTACAGTTATTGGTTACATATTCGATATGCAAATTAAAGGATATTTTAAAATCCATTACTACTCATAAATCCCGCAACTGTTCAGCCCTTTTCAGAATATAATTTTTAATATGGTACTCCTAGAGAAAAACTGGTTTGTTTCCAGTGAAGGATTTTACATCTTTTCCATTTTTATTTATTTGCATTGATTGTACCTAAGCAATCGATCGGCTGTGATTTACGTGATAGATAGGATAGATGATAGATTAGGATAGGAATATCGTTCATCTGATGATAAATCTAATAGAACCGACCTTTTTAGAGAGGCCATGGCGAAAAGCGAATTCTCAAGGCGGATATTCTCACGAAACTGTGGATAACACTCTTGAATAAGAAGGTTTTTTAAATATGTATTATTATAATTATTAATAATTATAGTAACAATAATATTATAATTATGAATTTTGTGTTAGTAAATACAAATATAATTAAATAGCAATTATGGACCTAAAGGAAAATTTTGGTGTTTACTTATCTAACTAATGCTACATTAACTTACGATAAAATACATTATTTGAAATAACAAACAATAAAATATACAGTGTGATTCCATTAAATATCATATGCACTTTCCCCTGCGAAGAAAATTAAAAGGGAAATTATATTTGTTTATCTTTTAATTGTGTAACCCTTTGACTTCTCCTTAAAGGCTTTCTTCAATATTTCAATCACTTTTTATAGAATCGTGAAAAATATTTTGTAGACTAAGAGCAGGTGTAATAGAAGTATGTATGCGAAATTTGAATACCTTCTATAGTTAAAATTAATTTAGAACCAAACTAAACCAACCCTAACGTTCTGATAGGATTTGAGGCATTATAATTGATACCTTTTAGAATTATAGTATTTCCTTCATATTATTCTAAAGTATTTTCTTTTAATTGGGATAATTTGACTAAGCAATTGTCAGCACCACTATCTATAAGAAAATTAGAAGGGTTATATATTTATAAGTTCCGAAATGTCGATTTGGACATAAGTCATTACTGCAAAGTTGATGGTTGAAATTCGGTCTGGGCTGTTCGAAGTGACCGTATTCCGAGAGCCCTCTTCGTTTAAAGATACATTTTGAAATTCGGTCGAGGTATTGAGACTTTCGACTCAATGGGAATTCGAAAAGCCTCCAAGTCACCTCCATTGACCTCATGTAAGTCCTGGTAGTTTCCAATCTCGTTCCATTCCGCTACGCGACTTCCCCCATGTGCCTTAATGGCGACGCTAACAACTCCTTTGTGCACATACTTGAAGAGGTACTTCATGGAGGACAAAGAGCCTTACAAGAGGCGAAGCATCGTTTGTAAGGCACCATTTAACTGTTGTAAATATATGAATTTTGTACTAGCAAATACAAATATAATTAAATAGCAATTATGGACCTAAAGTTATAATAAAGGATAATTTTGGGGTTTACTTATCTAACAAATGCTACATTAACTTACAAAGACCCTTACACGTCAAAATAGATATGTCACCAGTACTTGAGGACGAAGCAACGTTTGTAAGGCACCATTTGACTGTTGTAAATTTATTTACATGAATTTTGTACTAGCAAATACAAATATAATTAAATAGCAATTATGGACCTAAAGTTATAATAAATGAAAATTTTTGGGGTTAGGAATTATTATATACTTAAACTTACGATAAAATACATTTGAAATTAGAAAAATAAAATATACAGTGTGATTACTTTAAATATCATATACACTTTCACCTGCGAAGAAAATTAAAAAGGAAATAATATTTTTTTATCTTTTAATTGTGTTTTTTGATTAATTAATGATTATTAATTAATACTAATTGACTTCTTCTTAAGGGCGTTTCTTCAATATTTCAATCACTTTTTATAGAATCGTGAGAAATATTTCCTAATCTAAAAGCAGGTGTAATAGAAGTATGTATGATGCGAAATTAGAATACCTTCTATAGTTAAATTTAATTTAGAACCAACCCTAACGTTCTAATTTGATGCATTGTGATTGATTTTTTTAGTATTATGGAATTTCCTTCATATTATATTAAAGTATTTCCTTTTAATTGAGATAATTTAACTAAGCAAATGTCAACACCACTATCTATAAGAAAATTAGAAGGGTTATATTTATAAGTTTCGAAATGTCGATTTGGACAAAAGTCATTACTGCAAAGTTGATGGTTGAAATTTGATCTGGACTGTTTGGGCGGTTCTCGAAGTGGCCGTATTCCGAGAGCCCTCTTCGTTTAAAGATACATTTTGAAATTCGGTCGAGGTAGACGACCAAAGTCTGATCCAGTTCATCTAAATCTGGATAGAAGATAATATCTTGTTCCAGAGACAAAATGAACATGACCGAATGAGACTTTCGACTCAATGGGAATTCGAAAAGCCTCCAAGTCGCCTCCATTGAACTCATGTATCTGCAGTCCTGGTAGTTTTTTAGAATCTCGTTCCATTCCGCTACGCGACTTCCCCCATGCGCCTTAATGGCGATGCTGACAACTCTTTGTACACATATTTGAAAAGGTACTTCATGGAGGATAAAGACCCTTACACGTCAAAATAGATATGTCACCAGTACTTGAGGGCGAAGCATCATTTGTAAGGCACCATTTAACTGTAGTAAATATATGAATTTTGTACTAGCAAATACAAATATAATTAAATAGCAATTATGGACCGAAAGTTATAATAAAGGATAATTTTGGGGTTTACTTATCTAACAAATGCTACATTAACTTACGATAAAATACATTTGAAATTAGAAAAATAAAATATACAGTGTGATTACATTAAATATCATATACACTTTCCCCTGCGAAGAAAATTAAAAAGGAAATAATATTTGTTTATATTTTAATTGTGTAACCCTTTGACTTCTCCTTAAGGGCGTTTCTTCAATAGTTCAACCAATTTTTATAGAATCGTGAGAAATATTTTCTAAGCTAAGAACAGGGTGTAATAGAAGTATGTATGATGTGAAATTAGAATACCTTCTTTAGTTAACTTAATTTATAACCAAACCAAACCTAACGTTCTGGTAGTATTTGATGAATTGTGATTGATACCTTTTAGAATTATAGAATTTCCTACATATTATATTAAAGTATTTCCTTTTAATTGAGATAATTTAACTATGCAAATGTCAGTACCACTATCTATAAGAAAATTAAAAGGGTTATATATATTTATAAGTTCAGAAATGCCGATTTGGACATAAGTCATTACTGCGCAGTTGATGGTTGAAATTCTGGACTGTTTGGGCGGTTCTCGAAGTGGCCGTATTCCGAACTTGGTCGAGGTAGACTACCAAAGTCTGATCCAGTTCATCCAAATCTGGATCGAAGATAATATATTGTACCAGAGACAAAATGAACATGACCGAATGAGATTTTTTACTCAATGGGAATTCAAAAAGCTCCCAAGTCGCCTCCATTGAACTCATGTATCTGCAGTCCTGGTAGTTTCGAATGTCGTTCCACTCCGCTACGCAACTTCCGCCATGCGCCTTAACCCCTTGAGCCCGGTGATGCATCACTTGCATCATTTTTGTATATACTAGCTCGCGTTATAATCCGGTGATGCATCATGTGCATCCTTTTCATTTGACTGCAATAACATTTATGCGGCTACGGTATTTGACCGGATACATGCATATACTTCAATTTTTCTGTGCCATATAGTAGAAAATTTATTTTACAACAGATATTTGATGGAGATTTCCTTGCTTTGCAAAAAAAACGAAACACAAACAGGATATTATTTATTAGAGATAATAAAAACGGTAAAAACTGTACTGGCCTACAACTTTACAAAAACACATTACATTATTTATAAAATGTTCAAAGGTTATTATGATAGTACGTAAAGTGTTCTAAAGAACACAAAGGTGTGCGATTTATACATCCAATACAACACTTATACATAAAAAAATAGTTCTTCTCGATGTTGTAGCATACCCAGCATCGTCGTCTCGTGTTCTGTTCGCTACGAAATAATTCATGTACTGCCGAGCTTGATGTTGATGGTTCACTAGGTTTCCGCCTTTTTGCGTTTTCGTACTGATCACGCATTGCTGTATACTCTGGAAGATGTCAAGCGCTATCGAATGATGCGGCCGGCCGGATGACGGGGGCGCTCGTCGATTACGCGTCCCGGTGCCAAGGGTTAATGGCGACGCTAACAACTCCTTTGTGCATATACTTGAAGAGGTACTTCATGGAGGTTAAAGACCCTTACACGTCAAAATAGCCACCAGTACTTGAATTTTGTACTAGCAAATATAAATATAATTAAATAGCAATTATGGACCTAAAGTTATAACAAAGGAAAATTTTGAGGTTTACTTATCTAACAAATGCTACATTAACTAACGATAAAATACATTTGAAATAAGAAAAATAAAATCAGTGTGATTACATTAAATATCATATACACTTTTCCCTACGAAGAAAATTAAAGAGAAATAATATTTGTTTATATTTTAATTGTGTAACCCTTTGACTTCTCCTTAAGTACGTTTATTTATAAGTTCAGAAATGTAGATTTGGACATAAGTCATTACTGCGAAGTTGATTGTTGAAATTCGTCCTGGACTGTTTGGGCTGTTCGAAGTTACCGTATTCCGAGAGCCCTCTTCATTTAAAGATAGATTTTGAAATTCGATCGAGGTAGACTACCAAAGTCTGATCCAGTTCATCCAAATCTGGATCGAAGATAATATATTGTACCAGAGACAAAATGAACATGACCGAATGAGATTTTTGACTCAATGGGAATTCGAAAAGCTCCCAAGTCGCCTCCATTGAACTCATGTATCTGCAGTCCTGGTAGTTTCGAATCTCGTTCCATTCCGCTAAGCAACTTCCCCCATGCGCCTTAATGGCGACGCTAACAACTCCTTTGTGCACATATTTGAAGAGGTACTTCATGGAGGATAAAGACCCTTACACGTCAAAATAACCCCCAGTACTTGAGGGCGAAGCATCGTTTGTAAGGCATCATTTGACTGTTAATAATATTTGTTTATCTCTTAATTGTGTAACCCTTTGACTTCTCCTTAAGGACGTTTATTTATAAGTTCAGAAATGTGGATTTGGACATAAGTCATTACTGCGAAGTTGATGGTTGAAATTTGTCCTGGACTGTTTGGGCTGTTCGAAGTGACCGTATTCCGAGAGCCCTCTTCATTTAAAGATAGATTTTGAAATTCGGTCTAGGTAGACTACCAAAGTCTGATTCAGTTCATCCAAATCTGGATCGAAGTTAATATCTTGTTCCAGAGACAAAATGAACTGGTGGACACATAATCGAATGAGACCTTCGACCCAATGGGAATTCGAAAAGCCTCCAAGTCGCTGCCATTGAACTCATCTAATTGCAGTTCTGGTAGTTTTTCTAATCTCGTTCCATTCCGCTACGTGACTTCTCCCATGCGACTTAATGGCGACGCTATCAACTCCTTTATGCACGTATTTGAAGAGGTACTTCATGGAGGACAAAAACTCTTACACGTCATAATAGATATGTCACCAGTACTTGAGCGCGAAGCATCGTTTGTAAGGCACCATTTGATTGTTCTAAATACTTGAATTATGTACTAGCAAATACAATTAAAATTAAATAGCAATAATTATAGACCTAAAGTTATAATAATGGAAAATTTTAGGGTTTACTTATCTAACTAATACTACTAACTTACGATAAAATATATTTGAAGTAAGAAAAATAAAATATAGAGTGTGATTACATTAAATATACTACATATACACTTTCCCCTGCGAAAAAAATTAAAAAGGAAATAACATTTGTTTATTGTGTAACACTTTTAATTGTGTAACACTTTGACTTCTCCTTAAGGAAGTTTCTTAAATATTTCAATCACTTTTAATAGAATCGTGAGAAATATTTTCTAGGCTAAGAGCAGGGGGTGTAATAGAAGTATGTATGCGAAATGTGAATTCCTACTCTAGTTAAATTTAATTTAGAATACCCTAATGTTCTGGTAGGATTTGAGACATTGTGATTGATACCTTTTAGAATTATAGAATTTCCTTCATATTATATTAAAGTATTTCCTTTTAATTGAGATAATCTAACTATGCAAACGTCAGCACCACTATCTATAAGAAAATTAGAAGGATTATTTATAAGTTCAGAAATGTCGATTTGGACATAAGTCATTACTACGAAGTTGATGGTTGAAATTCGGTCTGGACTGTTTGGGCGGTTCTCGAAGTGGCCGTATTCCGAGAGCCCTCTTCGTTGAAAGATACATTTTGAAATTGAGCTAATGGATTTTGATTAGCGTTATGATTTGTATTCCCCTCCCTCTTATTTTATTATTATATTCTCTTTTATTTCATTGTGTCCTACATTCAGATGTCCGTTCTTTTTGCAATATTTACAAAATTTAAGTGTTCGAATTATCTTAATTTAATTCGTACGCATTTTAGCAGGGCTAAAGTTGAGAATAGCATTTAACAGCCGTACACCTACTTTATGTGCGAATTTTCTGTTTAAAGCTTGCCAGGCCAAGGATACCACCCAGGTCGAGGTAGACTATCAAAGTCGTCCTGATGATGGAGTGTAACTCCGAAACCGGCCGACGAATCGGTGGTCTTAGATTTAGAACGGAAAATTCGCACAGAAAGCAGGTGTACCGGCTGTTAAATGCTTTTCTCATCTTGATTTAAGTTGCTTGGGCCTTGATTATGTAATGAGTTTTTATTATTAGAATGATTTGATCGGTTTTCAAAATGTCTAACTTGATTTGCAAAATTTTTGTTCCTACAAGAGAAAGAAAAACCTGATATATTACAGAAGTCGGAATATCACTATAGAGTTATTTAGACTTTAGTATTTGAAAATTTTCTGTTTAGATTTTAGCTCCTGCTCTTCTTGTGGAGCTGTTGCAATAGCTTTTTCTAATGAGATTGGTCGCTGTGATTTGACTAAAATTTGAGTATCAGGTTTTAGACCTGTTATAAAAATACTAAGAGCTTGTTCTTTTAGGAGTTTTGTGCAAGCGTCCCTTGATTCTGTCGAAAGATCTTCATCTAGTGAATTAATTAATTTAATACAACAATTTTCAATTTTAGTCAGTAGGAAATTATATTTTTTGTTAAATTTTGCTTATATAAATTTAATTCTAATTGCCACTGTACCAATTGTTCGTTTTTCTGAATAGGCTTTGTTTCAATTATATTATAAATAGAACATTTATTAATTATGGTTTTACTAATTTACAAGCTTTGTCACAGTTGTCTATTAATTCGAAAAGTTTAGATTTTGTTCCATCAAATTTAGTTAAGATGATTATAGCTAATTCCAGCGAAATGTAGTTGACAGACATATTGCAATTATTTAAAGAACTTTAGCTTTTTGAAAAAATATTACTTACTTTGTTCTTGGTTTACGTTTTCAAGTTCAGGATATAGAGACATAAATAATGTATACTTGCAGGATAACGATGTATGTTTCTCTTGCCATTAGAGATGAACTATTCTTTCCTAAAGCCTTTGACGTCTTCGTGACGTGCTCTAGTTGTTGAAACCAATACAAGTGCCGGGGTGGACTTGACAACGAATTTTCTTCGCAACACATATACTGCTAGATGTCGTCTTGCTACCAATTCCACTGTTTCGGAAAACCGCTTACTTTTGTAATTCTGTTGCTTCCGCCGGATCCCACTTCTGACACCAATTTTTGTAATGGATTTTTCGATGAAGGAAGCTCTTGAGGAATACATACACTATGTTTTGATTATTAAACTTTTTTAAAATTTCTTGATGCAAATTAAAGGATATTTTAAAATTCATTACTACTCCTAAATCCCGCAACTGTTCAGCCATTTTCAGAATATAATTTTTAATATGGTACTCCTAGCGAAAAACTGTTTTGTTTCTAGTGAAGGCTATTATATTGCATTTTTATTTGCATTGATTGTGTCTAAGCAATCGATCGGCTGTGATTTAGGTGGATAGGAATATCGTTCATCTGATGATAAATCTAATAGAACCGACCTTTTTAAAGATACCATAGCGAAAAGCGAATTCTTAACACGGATATTCTCACGAAACTGTAAATAACACTCTTAAATAAGAAGGTTTTTCAAATATGTATTATTATAATTATTAATAATTATAGTAACAGTAATATTATAGTCATTTAACTTTTTAATAGCAGATAATATCTTTTAGCAGAAAATTGCTATATAAATATTATCATTATATCTATCTAAGAAAATATCGTTTGATACTTATTACTTGACTGCCCAATTGTATTCCTTAAAATTTTCTATCTTCCAAATTTTCATTCCTATCCTGATCATTATCCATCATGTTCTCCTAAAAATATTAAAAACTATTTAGTAAGTTTACTACAACTATTTTGTTTAATTGCCACCGGCGCGGCGCAGATTCCTCCATATTTGATATATTGTGTAAAATTTAAGTTATAAATTTGACGAGGTAAATTATGAAATGAGGTGGTTAATTTAACGAAAAATTGTTATACTATATATACCTTCCCAACTGGCAAGCTCTCCTGGGCTCGGCGACGGATAATTGATAATATAGATGCGTACGAGGCCGATCTCTGATATTGCTGGTGTGTTTCGTAATACCAAATTATATTATTGGCTTCAATTTGAAGCCCCACGTCAACAATATACTGATGGAAGAGTTCTCCTGCGTTGTGAGTGATCGAAAAATGGGCTCGACGCTTCATCCTGAATCGGTAGAACTCACTAAAAGTAATCGTCTTGCGAGGATTACTTAATTGCGGCATGCCAGGATTATATCCCCTGTACCCATAAGGAAACAGTGAAGGATAAACCATGGGATCCACTAAACAGCTGAGCAATTGTAGATAAATGTGTAATATAAGGTTAAAAGTACCTTAGAGCTTCTAAAGTCTTTACAACTGGGCTTAATGAATCCTAACATCTTAAATGCAGAGTTGAATTTGATCAATCCAAGTCCCTGATATCATCAACAACGTTAATATTTTTTTTATTTTTTAGACAATAATTAAATTGAACATCGCCTGCTTTTTGCAAACGATATTTTAT